AGATAGATAGATGATAGACAGACAGAAGATAGATGATAGATAGACAGACAGACAGACAGACAGACAGAAGATAGACAGACAGAAGATAGATAGATGATACAGACAGACAGAAGATAGATAGATGATAGACAGACAGACAGACAGTGATAGATAGACAGACAGACAGACAGACAGACAGACAGAAGATAGACAGACAGAAGATAGATAGATGATAGACAGACAGAAGATAGATGATAGATAGACAGACAGACAGACAGACAGACAGACAGAAGATAGACAGACAGAAGATAGATAGATGATAGACAGACAGAAGATAGATGATAGACAGACAGACAGAAGATAGATGATAGACAGACAGAAGATAGATAAATGATAGACAGACAGACAGACAGAAGATAGATGATAGACAGACAGACAGACAGAAGATAGATAAATGATAGACAGACAGAGAGAAGATAGATAGATGATAGACAGACAGACAGACAGAAGATATATGATAGACAGACAGACAGAAGATAGATGATAGACAGACAGACAGAAGATAGAAAGATGATAGACAGACAGACAAAAGATAGATGACAGACAGACAGACAGATGGAAGATAGATAGATGATAGGCAGACAGACAGAAGATAGATGATAGATAGACAGACAGACAGACAGATAGATGATAGACAGACAGACAGACAGATAGATGATAGACAGACAGACAGACAGATAGATGATAGACAGACAGACAGACAGATAGATGATAGACAGACAGACAGACAGATAGATGATAGACAGACAGACAGACAGATAGATGATAGACAGACAGACAGACAGATAGATGATAGACAGACAGAAGATAGATGATAGATAGACAGACAGACAGACAGACAGACGGACGAATGGACGGACAGACAGAAGATAGATGACAGACAGACAGACAGACAGATAGATGATAGACAGACAGACAGACAGAAGATAGATGATAGACAAAGAGACAGACAGACAGAAGATAGAAAGATGATAGACAGACAGACAGACAGACAGATAGATGATAGACAGACAGACAGACAGACAGATAGATGATAGACAGACAGACAGACAGACAGATAGATGATAGACAGACAGACAGACAGACAGATAGATGATAGACAGACAGACAGACAGACAGATAGATGATAGACAGACAGACAGACAGACAGATAGATGATAGACAGACAGACAGACAGACAGATAGATGATAGACAGACAGACAGACAGACAGATAGATGATAGACAGACAGACAGACAGACAGATAGATGATAGACAGACAGACAGACAGACAGATAGATGATAGACAGACAGACAGACAGACAGACGGACGAATGGACGGACAGACAGAAGATAGATGACAGACAGACAGACAGATAGATGATAGACAGACAGACAGAAGATAGACAGACAGAAGATAGATAGATGATAGACAGACAGACAGACAGACAGAAGACAGATGATAGACAGACAGACAGACATATAGACAGATAGATAGATAGATAGATAATTCTACATTATTCAGTACAAAAACAACTAAAAAACAGTATAGATTTATAATATTAGCCTCATTTACAGTAGGATATCAGCAAAAATGTAAAAATACCTCAGATCCTCAATCTCCTTGATGTAATTCTGAATCATATTTCCAATCTCCTCACTGCCTTCACCTGAAAACATAGTTCAAATTCTGTCAACAACTATCAAACATCTTACAAAGTCTTTGATTGGCCATATTTGCCGTGCTGTACCTGCTCTGGAGAGCACCTGATTGGCCTGTTCACTGAGCAGCTGCGTAAGCCGAGCGCCCTGAGCATCGATGGCTTCCTGCATGGCCTTCACACGCATGCGCAGATTATTGTTCTCTATCTGCAGCATTGAGTTCTCATGGAACATGTCGTTGATGCTTTCCAGCCCATCCTCTCCGACCATACGCTTCCCCTGAGAAACCCAGACAGACTTACTTCATTCACCAAACATTCATACAATTTATATAAAAGAATCACAGTATTATTTATTAGCTAAACCCTATGTCATAAATTTAAAATCTGAAATGAACGTCTAGGGGTTTGCAATCCCTTGATTGGTAAAGCCTGCCGTAAAAAAAAAATAATGTAATATTTTAGCACTGTTTAGCTGACACTATTTAATCATATTAATCAGGCATTAAAGGCCCCTACATACTTCATTGTGCATGTTTTGCTTCATCTAAAGCACTTGTTTAGCGTGTTGGCACTACCTAATGGACCTTTTTACATTTTACCACTCACGTCTTTCACTAGTTTTGAGTGAATGGCCACTTACTGATAAAACAACCAAGAGTTGGCTCTTCAAGTGACATTGAGTGATGAAAAATCCCAAAGATTTAAAGACTGGCTATTTTCTACCAACTATTTCAGGGGGATTTTGTTGACTAATCATTCTTCAAAAGTTCTTATTGTAGTGCTGTGAGAACAAATTTGTTTCAAAGTGAACTATTATAAACCAATCCACCCTGACTCTAGAAATTATGCAGAAGCCAGCCAAGCAGATTGCTTATGATTTTTTTGGAAACATTTTTATTTTTAAGTAGGACCGCATCTGGCGGTCCAAGTTCAGTAATCATCTATACTTGAAACTGAACTTCTAAACTCAGTGTTAGCAGGTCAAATTACGAACCATCACTCATTAACTAAACTAAAGTTTTAGCATTTTAATGCATTTGGTCGTGGCCCACTAGATCTGTTACGCACGCTGCTGCTGGACTTGCTACTACCAACAGATACACAGACACATTGCTGTGAGCATGTCAGACAAGCTGCAGCAGCAATAGGAATACAGTAAATAAATCCTGTAGCAGATGTAGACAGGTGGTGCTGGGGGAGGTGGAGGGTTTCAGAGGATCTTTGACAGTGTGCTGCAGGACCAGCTTACAGCAAACAATGAACCAGACTATTTCATGTTCAGCAAGCAAGCTGATTGGTCTCTGCTCATTCTGCAGCCAATGATTTTCTAGATTTTCATGACTGAGCTATATATGTTGAGGATACACTGAAGACATGCTGGAACTGAAATCCAACTCACATAGTTGCTATCATAGCCATATTTTTATAGCAGAATCTCACCGTTCTGTACTCCATGAGGTCCATCTGCAGTCGGGCGATCTCCGTCCTGAGTGCACTGATCTGCTGGCTGGCCTTGTCTTGGTTCACCACCACCTTGTTCTTGATGTTGCGAGCTCTGTTAGCGTACTTCAGTGTGTTTAGGGTTTCCATGAAGTCCTGATCTGATGGGCTGGTGCAGGAGATCATCACTGTTTGACTAAGAAACCGGAGAGAATGTCCAGCTTTATTTATTTACTCGTACTGTCTAATGCTACAATGCCAAATTAATATTTTGTCCGGATGTGGATCAAGTCTGCTGCATCACAATACATGGTTGAAAATGCATCCCTAATGTTGGTATTATGATCCCGATTAAAGAATTTTAAGCTCACCAGTCAAAAATTGTCATTATCGTGTTATAATTCTGTTACTATCCTGTTATTACACCGCTATTCCAAATTTGCATGCTGTTCATGGGAAATACTGTCAAAAGCACTTCCTACTAATCCTTGAAGAATTTTTACTGAATTTGACTATTGTTAGATTAAAAAATTGAGATTTGGAATATTTGCGAGCTATATTTCAAGTCTTCTGAAATCATATGATAACTTTGACTAAAATTGACTGAAATTTAAGTTGTCATTCAATTATAATATTCACCGACATCAAATATGGCACCAGTTGTCAGGTGTGACATCAATGATATTTGGTCAAGAGACATGCAAGAACAAATTTTGTTGTTGACGTCCAATCTGACATTATTTGTTAAAAGGCTACATGTTTGATTTCAAAGCTACAACGACAGAAAAAATTATCAAAGAATAATGCTTTGAATTTTGATCTGCACTACATACAAACCTATTGGAATATAGTGCATAAGGACTGCTTTCGTTTTTATGCCTCTTACAGTTTGACAGCCACTGTTACTTCAAACTATCATTGTATGAAAAAGACCTTCTTCGAAATTACTCTTAATGTTTCCAAGAAAAATAACCACATTCTGAGAAAATAATGACAGAATTAAAATTTTTGGGTGAACTATTCCTTTAAAGGTAGGGTAAGAGATTTTTCAAAAACGCTTTAGAAAATTGATTCGGGCCGAATAGCAAAACAAACTTGTAGCCAATCAGGGCGTGTCTACTCGTGATGTGGAGGAGAGAGCGTTCAGTGCACAGGACGAACATTAGCGAGCCGAGCGACAGAAAGATGACAAAAAACAAAAAAACAAAAGCGGAAAACAAAAGCGGAACAAACGAAGGCTTAAGACAATAAGGCAAGAAGTAGGACTGTAAATATCAGATCAGCTTTCCAGCGCTGGAGAGAACTCAAGGAGCGGAAGGCCTGCGATCGGACGCCGAGGTTGCTTTGTTTCTTCTCGATAGGTGAGTAACACCGTGTCTACAACAGCTAAAGTCTGCCTAGTACACAAGCGACCGTTGAAAATCATTTGAAATTTGTGTCAATACGCCATAAATAGAACGCAGCAGCAGTTTAAAAAAAACAAAAGCGGAAAACAAAAGCGGAACAAACGAAGGCTTAAGACAATAAGGCAAGAAGTAGGACCCGTGTAAATATCAGATCAGCTTTCCAGCGCTGGAGAGAACTCAAGGAGCGGAAGGCCTGCGATCGGACGCCGAGGTTGCTTTGTTTCTTCTCGATAGGTGAGTAACACCGTGTCTACAACAGCTAAAGTCTGCCTAGTACACAAGCGACCGTTGAAAATCATTTGAAATTTGTGTCAATACGCCATAAATAGAACGCAGCAGCAGTTTTCTGTCAGGGATTTGTCGTGTCGTGCCGCACTGAATCCAGTGTAGACCATAGATATGTAAATATATAATGAGTTCTGTAGTATTTTGTTGCGCCGCTCGCGACCGGTGTAGACACGGTGTAACATTGGTTTTGCTTTATTTCACAGAACTAATCGTTGCCTGGGTTGCATATGTATGTGTGGGGCGGAGCTATCAAAATATGGGCGAGACCCTTTTGGGTTAGGGGCGTGATTTCAAATGTCAACATTGGCTACCAGAAATCGCTTACCCCACCTTTAATTCCAGAAAGTTTTGCACAGACCTGTTACCTCCCAGTGAATCCTGCAGAAGGCGAGTGAGTTTGGAGTCTCGGTAAGGCACATGAGTTGATCGTTTGCTTCTGTCTCCTAAAGCACTGATGACATTCCCTAATGCCAGCTGCATCACAGCCAGAAAAGAGAAGTTTCAGTTCACCTTATATAATTCTAGCCTGTGGCCGATTAATATGCAGTCTTATTATGTGTCGTTGTTTAATAATATTACTCGTTCTGACCAATCCACAGTTAATGGAGATGCCCTCTTTGGCTCGGTCCCCTGTGGCCCCCGTCCTCTTGAGTCTCTCTGATCCAGCCAGATCCACGAAGTGAAACTTGGCTGTGAGGGTTTCAAACTCTTCCATCTCAGACGAGCTGTTGGCCAGTCGATTGTCGGTTTCATTATCCTGCTCTGGAGGCTGAGAAAAAAAAAACATGTATGAAAAGTGAATTAAAACACAACAATAGACTAGACGGTGTTTGTTCGTTCTGGTGTGTTTCTACTCAATATGGCAGCTGTAGGAATGTGACCGCAATAACTTATGGTACTTACGCTTTCTGCGGGTGCACAAACACGCACTTGGCAGATGTGAATGGTGAAGATGGCGTGAGATCGAGAGCTCTGTACATTCATCTGAGTGCTAGCAGTGGTGCGGCAGAGAGCGCCCAGCTTCAGACACTGCATCATCTACAACACACACATCAGTACAGTCACTTACACTTCATGCATAATATCTGGATACAGTATCTTGGAAAAGAAATGGCTGACTCTCACTTCCGCCTCTGAGGAGACTGTGCGTGTTGTCACGCCTACAGTGTAGATGCTGCCACTGGCGTCCTCGTGGATTTTAATGTGAGATTTCTGCTTCTTCATCTCAATGTCACGTGTGGTGTCGAAAAGATCTAACACCTCCTCATTATACAACTGAGCGAAGACAGACCATACAATAGTAATTAAACCATTCATATTATTGCACTGTTTTTGCACATATTTCTTACATATCTCAAAACCAGTCATAAGGGTCAATTTTTTTTTAATTGTGATGTATACATCATCTGAAAGCTAAATAAATAATCTTTCCATTGATGTATGGTTTGTTAGGATCTGACAATATTTGGCTGAGATACAACTATCTGAAAATCTGGAATCTGAGGGTGCAAAAAAAATCTAAATATTGAGAAAATCTCCTTTATAGCTGTCCAAATTAAGTTCTTAGCAATGCATATTACTAATCAAAAATTAAGTTTTGATATATTTACGGTAGGACATTTACAAAATATCTTCATGGAACATGATCTTTACTTAATATCCTAATGATTTTTTGGCATAAAAGCAAAATCTATAATTTTGACCCATACAATGTATTTTTGGCTATTGCTACAAATACACCCCAGTGACTTAAGACTGGTTTTGTGGTCCAGGGTCACATACTGTATATAGGGACTATTTGTTTGTCTGACCAATGGTAGTTAGGAAGGAATATCAGTCAGTCACACAAAAGGATCATTAAAATAATCTAGTAAAGCACCGTCCACAAAAGCTCTATACCTCCAGAAACTGTGCGCTGATCTTGAACTCTGGGACGGGTCGACCCTGATCTGCGGCAGCCTGGCATCTCTGCTCGATGCCTTTATAGAGGTGACTGACCGCCCGCGGGATGATGCCCAGCTCCTCATCTGGTATGGTCACGTCAAAGCCCGTGCCCATCGTATACGTCTTCCCCGACCCTGTCTGAGATCCAACACCAACATCTGATCAGTGTCGATACGTTCAACTGTTTAATAAACACTTCATTATGTGCTTATTTATTTATTTTATAACTGTGCAGGTTGAACCCATAGACTGTATAAAAAGATGGACGTAGTGTCCGTGACGTCACCCGTAGGTTTCTGGAGAGCGTTTTTGAAGCTCAAAGTAGGCGGAGCGGGCCGTCGCCATCTTGGCAGCGCGTCACTCCCGGATAAAAGAAAATGGGCAAAGAATTTAGCTGGTTGCTAAAACCAAGCCCACCTAGCTCGACGGTGGTGACAGCAGCGGCAATCCACCTGTCACTCAAGTGGCCACACATTAATTATGCAGAACTGTAAGCCTTAATATAATTGAAACAGATGAGTTATAAAAAATTCACCCCCCTGACAGTTGTCATGAAGGGCAACATTAGCTATATAGACCAAAACCACTTTTTGTACCAGGCTGTACAAAAATGTTTCTGCTGTAAAGTTGGGAATTTTAACATGGCAGGTCTATGGGACCGACTTTTGGAGCCAACCTCTAGCGGCCAGTCGATGAATTGCAGTTTTAGTCACTTCCGTGTTGGTTTCACGAGAGAGACCGGAAGGTTGCCGCTTGGTTGAACCCAATTATAGTAGTGATGTAAAAGTACGATTGAGGAGAACGGCACACTATTTCCCTGTTTAACACTGTAAAGCTGCTTTGACACAATCTGCATTGTAAAAAGCGCTATATAAATAACGGTGTTTTGTCTAGAGGGTGGCACACGTGTTTTTCTGCTGGAGTTCGATGTGTCTGACTGGCGGATGAGTGAGACTGTTGATAAATCAGGATTAACACAGTGCCACGGGGAGAGACAGACAGATATCAAATCTGTAATGCTGTTTGGAGGAAGTCAGCCATGAAATGCAGGTCACAGGCCATAAATGAGACAGACGCAATCCACCTGTCACTCAAGTGGCCACACATTAATTATGCAGAACTGTAAGCCTTAATATAATTGAAACAGATGAGTTATAAAAAATTCACCCCCCTGACAGTTGTCATGAAGGGCAACATTAGCTATATAGACCAAAACCACTTTTTGTACCAGGCTGTACAAAAATGTTTCTGCTGTAAAGTTGGGAATTTTAACATGGCAGGTCTATGGGACCGACTTTTGGAGCCAACCTCTAGCGGCCAGTCGATGAATTGCAGTTTTAGTCACTTCCGTGTTGGTTTCACGAGAGAGACCGGAAGGTTGCCGCTTGGTTGAACCCAATTATAGTAGTGATGTAAAAGTACGATTGAGGAGAACGGCACACTATTTCCCTGTTTAACACTGTAAAGCTGCTTTGACACAATCTGCATTGTAAAAAGCGCTATATAAATAACGGTGTTTTGTCTAGAGGGTGGCACACGTGTTTTTCTGCTGGAGTTCGATGTGTCTGACTGGCGGATGAGTGAGACTGTTGATAAATCAGGATTAACACAGTGCCACGGGGAGAGACAGACAGATATCAAATCTGTAATGCTGTTTGGAGGAAGTCAGCCATGAAATGCAGGTCACAGGCCATAAATGAGACAGACAATATGAAGAATATACGGATGTCAGAGCAGAGCTCGCACATGTGAAACTAGGTCAAATCCAAACTCCTTTAGCCTGTCATCTTAAATGATCCTGGATGTGCTCGAATTCCTCACGTGTGGGACAATAACTAACCAGAAGTGTCAAAGTCAACATGAAAAGACATTTTCTAGAAACACAAACCTGTCCGTAGGCAAAAATAGTGGCATTATAACCCTCAAAACATCCTTCGATGAGTTTCTCAGTGCAGTTGGCATAGATGGTGTCCTGTGTCGAGTCCATGTCAAACACATAGTCATACGTGAAGGCCTTGTCCTTTCCCAGAACCACCTGGGGTTCGCCAGGGGTCACAAATGTGCAGATGTGACATCCCTCAATCTTTTCCTTTGCCAGCTGAGGACGAATCCTGTGACACACAGAGACATTATCTAAAGCGACTTGCACAGTCACACGCTGAATAACAATGAGAGCCTCCTGATGTGTTGATAAAGTGACAATTAGTCATCTAAAATAGGAATGTAATTACTGGGTGTCTGACTGCATAGGATAGCATGTCTAGCAAGAGGTTTTACACTTCAAAGATGAAATCTCTGTCAATAAACAAAAGGATGCTTCCTCACATTCAGCAAGATACAAAAAAAAAAACTACATTTGATCTCTAGAAGTATCTATTATATTCTAGTATTCAAATATGGCTCTGGTCCTTCTTGATCCCTCTTTCATCTTTTTGTTTACCAAGTAAAATATCTTTCGTCCAATCACTTAGAAAAGTAACATCACACCTCTCTTTAACAAGCCATATTTGAGGTATCATTCACAGCACACTAAGTTTAATACTTAGCAGTATGGTTCGTTCAAATCACCAATCAGCAGCAACAGTGAGGCTTGCATGGCTCAGTAAACACCTCTAAAAAGAGACACTGATGTCACTTTCTATGGCGCACCTGACAGCAGAGGCTGAGCTTTCACTCCGACTGTGAGAGACGCTTTTGTTCAGAGCACAATTCACTGACAGCAGCACAGAGAGACTATTGTGTGTGTTTGATACTGGATCTGTAGTGTACTGAACATCAGAGAGAGAGAGAGACGTGGGTGAGAGACACATAAGCAGAGGATGTGTTGGAGCCAGTCTGTAAGATCTGTATTGTTTCAAACATGTCAGCAGTGTGGAAGCATTTAAAACGGTCCAAGAAAGACCAATCATTACAAGCACCGACAGCGAGAGACAGTTTAGCACTGCATCGCATGCCTTCGATGAGAAGAGGAGGGTGGTTATTGCTGGTTACTGTATGATGATTGAAATTGCCAAATGGCCTTAAATAATTTGTAAAGAAACTGCAGAAGGTTATGTTTTCTAATACACGCGCGAATTGCAGGTATTCTGACAGCCCTGCACTGATGGCGCTGTCTGCTTGTTAGCCAGGGTTCAAAGCACGAGGAAAATCTGCGCTGAAACAGTGTAACTCGTCAGTTGCTCAGTAAAATTTTTCTGCATTTTTACAAGGCATGTGACAGTGTGATACGTGCGACAAACTGTCACGAATCCGGTCCATGAACTTCCTTCTGCTAGCCATCAGAGGTCACCCTTTCCGATTTCATTGACTCTCGCACTACACACTGTTGCACATCACCCCGGACTACATATCCCATCATTCATTGCACTGATTGCACTCAGCACGGATTGCACACAGCTGGTAACACTGATTGCGCGAGTTTCTGCCAAAATAAAAGCTGAGAAAAAGCAAGAACTCCATCAGCATTTATAAATGTTAGTGTTGTATTTTTACTGTTGTTCTGTGAAATAAAATAATAAGTAAAACAATAATAATGATAATAACACTTACAACAGCTCTATTAATACATTTATTATAACATTCACACATAGTGTTCAAATTTTGAGCTATAATATTTTCTTATGTTTTAAAAGAAGTCTATTCTGCTCAGGAATTGATTCAAGGGGTCTCAAAAATGGCCAAAAATATTATTTTACTAACTTATAAATTTTAATTTAAATTGTGCTTTGTTTTTGTAATGTCTGCTAGAACGTTAAAAAATTTTCAGTGTTAAACAAATATTTTTAATTATTGTTTTTTTTTTTCTTTGAAAAGCAAGACAAAACGGTAAAAAGCACATTTTAGCTATTTAATTTATACAATGGTGAAAAAAAATTGGCAAAATACATGGGGAGAAACAAGAAAAAACTTGTTCTGTATTCGGTCTTCGGCCCAGTGTTTAATTTTCGGCTTCAGCCAAGAATTTTCATTTTGGTGCATCCCTAGCCTGAACCAGCTGAACTGGATCCTTTCGACTCTGAGGGGCAAGGGCACTATTCCGAGTCTCCCCAATTTGTCAGAGCTTCTCACCTTGACTCTCATATTTAGTTCAGACACCCATCTGAGAAAACACATTTCAGCAGCTTGAACTTTGAACTTGTTTTGGTCATTACCCAAAGTTCATGATGGTTGGAACTAGGGATGCAGTATTGGTATCGGGCCCGATACTGCGCTCCTGTACTCGTAAAAATGCCCCGATACCAAACAGCGTGTGAATAGAGCTGTGTCCAGAAAAAGAAACACTGAAAACAGAACAACAGAGAGTAGAATGGAGTTATTAGAGATTGAGGATGTCTATGAACTACACGTAAGTAATTAATATAATGTTAAACATTCAATATTCACGCCTGTATAGCAGATGTGCCAGAGCTGATAAGCAGAGCGCACTGATTTGAGCACGCGGCTGCACAGCACGCGCAGCTGGTATCCCCAAACCAACTCACCTTAGCCCTCCTGTTCCTGAACTCATTCCCGTCTGCAGCACTTCTCATATGGGGGTTTGCTTTATGGTGTATCTGGGCCGCGTACTCCACCGCCAATTTGCTAGAGGCAGCGGCACCGGCTACAACATCTCCAGAGGTGGCGGCTTGCACTGCAGAACCTCCAGAGGTAGCGGTGTCCACTGCCGTGCTCCCAGAGGCCACGGTGTCCACTGAAGTCTCTTCAGAGGTGGCGGCGCAGGCTGCAGAACCTCCCGAGATGGCGACACTTGTTAGCGCATATCTCAGATAGCTACACTACAGAGCCCTCATTTGTTTCCCTGCCTTAGCCTTAGCTGTTTTCTCCGGTTTTGATCTTCGCCTGTTTTCCTGGATTTCTTCCTTTTAGCCTTGCCCCTGTGACTCTGTCTGCCAATCGTCGACCCACGCTAGCCCTAGGATTATTCTTGTGTCTTGCTCGCCATATACCTGTCTGCCTCTGTTTGACCCTGCCTGCTTTATGACCACATCTCGGTCTTCTCCACAATAAAGCTTTGCGAATGGATCCGCATGTTTCACGTCTTGTCAGCTCTGTAACACAAACATCTTCCCAAATTCGTAATGAGAATCATTTATAAATCTGCTGTTGTCAAACGAAAAGAAGCACTGAGGTCTTGCTTGGCAGAGGTTTCTGCCAAAATAAAAGCTGAGAAAAAGCAAGAACTCCATCAGCATTCATAAATGTTAGTGTTGTATTTTTACTGTTGTTCTGTGAAATAAAATAATAAGTAAAACAATAATAATGATAACACTTACAACAGCTCTATTAATACATTTATTATAACATTCACACAGTGTTCAAATTGAGCTATAATATTTTCTTATGTTTTAAAAGAAGTCTATTCTGCTCAGGAATTGATTCAAGGGGTCTCAAAAATGGCCAAAAATATTATTTTACTAACTTATAAATTTTAAGTTAAATTGTGCTTTGTTTTTGTAATGTCTGCAAGAACGTTAAAAAATGTTCAGTGTTAAACAAATATTTTTAATTGTTGTTTTTTTTTTCTTTGAAAAGCAAGACAAAACGTTAAAAAGCACATTTTGGCTATTTAATTTATACAATGGTGAAAAAAAATTGGCAAAATACATGGGGAGAAACAAGAAAAACTGTATTCAGTCTTCGGCCCAGTGTTTAATTTTTGGCTTCAGCCAAGAATTTTCATTTTGGTGCATCCCTAGCCTGAACCAGCTGAACTGGATCCTTTCGACTCTGAGGGGCAAGGGCACTATTCCGAGTCTCCCCAATTTGTCAGAGCTTCTCACCTTGACTCTCATATTTAGTTCAGACACCCATCTGAGAAAACACATTTCAGCAGCTTGAACTTTGAACTTGTTTTGGTCATTACCCAAAGTTCATGATGGTTGGAACTAGGGATGCAGTATTGGTATCAGGCCCGATACTGCGCTCCTGTACTCGTAAAAATGCCCCGATACCAAACAGCGTGTGAATAGAGCTGTGTCCAGAAAAAGAAACACTGAAAACAGAACAACAGAGAGTAGAATGGAGTTATTAGAGATTGAGGATGTCTATGAACTACACGTAAGTAATTAATATAATGTTAAACATTCAATATTCACGCCTGTATAGCAGATGTGCCAGAGCTGATAAGCAGAGCGCACTGATTTGAGCACGCGGCTGCACAGATGCGCGAGCTTGTCGAGTGAATATCTCACAGACATCACTGGAAAGTTTGTAGTTCGGTCGGATATGTCAAAAGCAAGTAAGTAAAACAATGCACAAGTTACTAAAGTTATTTGACGGTAAGGAGAG